ATGGCAGTTCATTTGTCAGATTTCTAAAAAGAACATTTCACAAACTAACGTATTTTCCACAGGTCCTCTGAGAAATCATAATGCTACTTTTGATTTCAACAGTCTTCTGATTTCCAAAATATATTTAGGCCTCTGTGATTTTTTTTCTTTGCAGAGGCAGGATAAGTAAAATTTAATAATATTCATCAGTGAATTTCTCCTCACCTTATGATTGAAACTATTTTAACTACTGTACTGTGGTTTGTGGTGCAAAATTCTTCTCCTGTGTTACACCAAACTGGTTTGGTTAATAATCACCAAAAATTTACAGTATGGAATGTCTTTTTAAGAGTAACATGTTCAGTGTCAGGTGGTTTGAAAGAACCTTTTAAATCACAAACTCATTCAATGATCATTCAAGACGTGTTTTTAATACCTACAATCTGCATTGTACTAAGCACTGAGGGTGTAATTGTGAACAAGAAATACACATCCCATGACCTCATGAAACTGATATTCATTCCAACATGTAATCACGATGGTGTTGCTGTGATTGATTAAAGCAGCAAGCCTAGTTCTTTTATGAAGTGTGAGCAAGCTACAAGAATATACTATACATAAGTTAAATTTAATGTGCCTTCCATGATTTGCCTCCAAATCACTTTCCTAATAGCATCTGCAATCATATTTTACACATGGAAGTGGTTCTAGCTAACTCTGGACTATTGACTTTTTCCAGACTATACTACACCATTTTCCCATCCCATCTATTTACTCACATTGTTTCCTCACCCAGGAACGATTTCGCTCTGCCTGGCTTCACCATCACTCCATGTACTGCCACAACCCCCTCCTCTTTCACTCCATTTCTTGAAATCTTACCCAGCTGACCTAGTTTAAATGGCACCTGAAGCATGGTCCTTTCTGTTTTCTTACAGTGTCTTGATTATACCACTATTTTTTTAGCATTTATGGTACTTTATTCTTTCCAAGATTAACTACATATGTCTGTGTCTCCCAAGTTATATTGACCTTTAACTTTTGTCTTGCATGTCCAGGCACTCAACAATTTTATGTTGAACAAACAAATAAATGAAAAATAGTCAACAAATGAATTTGAAAGCAGATTTTTCTATCATTCTTTTATAACTTCATTACTTTTGCTAAGAAGTAAACATATTTAGAATCCATTATTTCAAATAAAAGATGGTGTGTCTGACCTGATTGAAGCAATAGCACCATATTATGTTGAGAACATCAGCAGTAGTAATGAACGGAGCATCTGGTTTTCCATATTTACAGAGAAACATCATATGTATATTCTCTATGAGGTTGCCGTTAACAAAAGTAAGGCACTGGGAAGGTCACTTGCTTTGTTAAGGCTATGTATGCTCTACCACTGGTTAAAGCCTGTTTTAAGTATTGCTTAAATGCAAAAAGCCAACTTGTCTAGCACATTTAACCATTTAATATTTCATAGTAGACTATACTGAAGAGACAAAGAAGAGCAGCCAAGTGCTGTATATATCAAACCTAACTCTTAAATGAGGAATTTGGGAACCTTTGAAACATGTGAAATGTTGGTTTATTTTAGGGCCTTAAAAACATAATATATCAGTAATTTAAAGTAAATTTATGCTTAAAATATAAGAGCAATAAATCAAAGGGGGAGGGAAACTAAAAATATGAAATACTTCTGGCAGAGAAGAAGATAAATTGAAAGCAGATAGAAGCTAAACTGTACAGATAGCAAAGGAAAAAGAAACAATAGGAGTGAAAAGACAAAAGAGAAATTTCAGAATTTTCAAATGGGTGGGGGACAGAATTAAAAGGAAACAGGCTGATCGTGTTTCATAGATCTCTTCAGTTGTTTAGATGGACATTTCAAGCACATCCCCAAGGAGAAGACTGGGAGAAGCATATACCACTAATTTATTTTTTTTGTTGTTTGGGCCACATACCAGGGAAGAAACGACTGGCTCACCCCGACACTGCCGAATTCCCAGTCCCACTTCTGACTATAAATGTACACTAGCTTAACACTGTAAGGATTTTTTAAAGATTATTTAAATATGGGCTTTGCTCAGTCCACATATATAATGCTTGAATTCTGAAAATCCTTAACACTAATCTCAAAGCCACAGCTAAAAAATAACCTATCATTCAAAATATAAAATTGTTTATAAAAAATTCAGCATTGTAATTAAAATTTATGGAAAGTTTGGGTTGGCGGAGGGTGTGAAACTTGTTTGTAACACTTTCAGCAAAAACATTCTTTTTTCAGTCGAAAACTGAGCCCCATGAAACCTTCACTACACTAACTCTGGAATATACTTAATTTATGGCTGTCAACCTCATTCCATACACAAAAACTTGGAGTGACAACATTGGTTATGTTGTTATTCTTAGGCTGTGAATTTGCTTATAAGTAAAACAATGGCACATGAAATCCTATTGCTTACAATAATGAACCCCTTAAAAATAAGAGACCAAAGACAGACACATCTTATGCTTAGCTATTGTTCAGTAAACAAGGCAAGGAGAAATGAGTGAGACAGATTTTACAATTAATGTGTCTATTGCCCAATTCTGTGAACAACCAAAAGCAGTAAAATTTAATGGGGCATGTTCTCTAATTATCATCCCTTTGAAAACTATTAGGTTGGTCAAAAAGTTTATTGTAGTGTCCCAGGTTCGATTCCCAGCCAGGGTACATGTCTGGGTTGCAGGCCATAACCCCCAGCAACCGCACATTGATGTTTCTCTCTCTCTATCTCCCTCCCTTCCCTCTCTAAAAATAAATAAAATCTTAAAAAAAAAAGTTTATTTTTTTTTTCCCTAAGATGGCTCTAGGGAAAGGAGTGCTTAGTTGTCTTTAACTTGATTCAAAACAATTTTGTTAAATTGTATTTGACAGCTGTCATATCAGCATGCATTTTTTCCTTTTCATTTTTTAACTTTTTTATTGTTGTTCAAATACTGTTGTCCCCATTTTCCCCCCATTACTCTCCCTGGTTCTACTCCTCCCCCACCTCCCACAAACAGTCCTCCCCCCGTTGTCTTTGTCCATGGGTCCTTTATACATGTTCCTTGACTTGAAGTCTATAAGTCTAGCCTCCCCCTTGTTTCCCCTGTTATCTCCCTCCACCGTCCCCTCTGGTCACTGTCAGTTTGCTCTTTATTTCCATGTCTCTGGTTTTATTTTGCTCACTTGTTTGTTTTGTTGATTAGGTTCCACTTATAGGTGAGATCATATAGTATTTGTCTTTCACTGCCTGGCTTATTTCACTTAGCATAAGCTTTTCAGAATTGGTATATTGTAGATTTTTGTATAGCCATCTGAATATTGAAGATGAAAGAAAATATGCAACATTTTTTGCATATTTTGCTTTATTATGTCAAGAAAGGTAAAAACACAACTGAAACAGAAAAAAGATTTGTGTAGTGTATGAAGAAGGTGTTGTCACTGATTGAACATGTCAAAAGTCAAAAGTGGTTTTGGAAGTTTTGTGCTAGAGATTTCTTGCTGGACTATGCTCCACAGTAGGGTAGACCAGTTGAACTTGATAGCGATCAAATCAAGTTATCAACTGAAAACAATCAACATAATACATGTGGGAGATAGCCAATGTACTCAAATATCCAAATTAATAAAGCTATTGGTGAAAATGAAAAATGTGTATTTTATTTTATGGAAAAAATCTAAATGGACTTTTTGGCCAACTGAGAACCCTCCCTAGGCCTGACCCTAACATTTGCAGGGTATGGGGCAAGAACATGATGTAGGCCCACCTGGTACATTTCTACTACTTAAAAATATACTAATCAAGCTAATAAATCATTAAATAAATTATGTTCTAGACTCCTACCATGACAAATATAATTTTAAATAACCTGGAAATACAGATTTGAATTTTAAAATTTTTGACTCTTTGAATAATCAAAGGCCAACGATACTCTGAATAAACTGGCTGTGGCTTCCCTGGCACCCTAACCAATGTGCCAGGACCCTCTTCACCACAGCCTGTAAATGCTTTTCTATTTACCTGAAATGGCTACCCTTCTTCCCTAATCACATCTTCCTAACCTTTAAGATTATAGTTTGAATTCTCTCACTGTTCAATACTCATAAGTCTATCAGACTCTATTCATTGTGTAGTGACATACATTCAACAATATCATCATGTGGTTACTACCTTGTGCCTCATCAAGCCTCATGAAGCCATCTCTGCATTTGCTCACCATTTCATCTGTAGCATCTGGCCAAGCACATAGCACATAGTTGCTCAATGAATACTTGTGAGCATAAGAATAACTTCTGAGGTTTTTTAAAAATGAAGGTTTCCTACAGACCCCTCCCATAAATGATTCTGGAGCTGCTGTCTTTGACCAAATACTATAATATGTTAAGAGCTAACAGTATTATTTTCAGTGGGCTTATTTTGTGACTCTTTTGTTCTATCCCCAATCTCTTTTCCACCTTGTGTTATTAGTGGCTCTTTTGTCTGTTTCCCTAGCACTTTTGAAAATATATATTTCTTTGTTATTTTTAGTCAGATTTTGAGATGTAATTTACATAGTAATACTCATTCTTACTTAATGTGTAATTCAATTCATGTTTACAAATTGTATAGGTTTGTTACCACCACCCCAAGAGAGTCATAGGTCTATAGCACTTTGTATATAGTTTTCTTTTGGTATTATTATTATATTACATTATTTCTCCTTGTTTGCATATAGGATTTCAATACAAGATTAAAAACTCCTTGACAGCAGGAACAGTACCTACTTTTTCTTTACCTCTCCACCCCTGCCACAGAGCTTGACAATAAATATGTGTTGATAAAAAGTGTTTGTAAATCAATTAACTAATTAATATAGTACACTATCTTATGGAATACACTACCTTGCACATTTTAAGTATAAAATTCATTGGTTAAATTGAACAACAAAAAATAAAAACCTGTAACTTCCAATGTGTCAAAACCAGAACCACAAAGTACATGAAATTCAGTGCTTACCATCTCCTGTTTCTGCACAGAGCTGTAAACCCAAATTGTTCTGTGGATTAATCACCCAGTGATTGCTGGTCACAGTGATGTCAAAAACAAGCCAGCCCACATCTAAAGCTTGGGCCTTTCTTGTGTCTAACAAAAACAGATCTGCATCCCTAAGGAGAAAAAGAGCAACAATAAAAAAAAGTTAAATGTTTGAACAAAAAACATCACTTCCTATTCTTAAGTGAAAACATTACAAAATCATTTTGTAAAATAACAGGAGTTAATTAAAGAACAAGGGAAACAAGTGACTCAAATGATGAGTAATAAGATACAGAAACTCTTTTATTGCTAGACTCCTAACCTAAACCTGGTACAGATTAGTAATATCTGAAAGCAATTTTCATTTTCCTGCTCTTCACTGGCCTTTACAAACTGACTTAGTGAGCTCAATTTGGTCCCCGATAATCAATGTTCCCTGAAACCACTACCTGTAAGTAGCTCTCCTCACTAGCAAGTTCACAGGCAAGGATTAAACTGCCTGTAGAGATGGAAGTGAAAGTAGTTTCTCTGGTTTGGATGAATGTGGATTCTCAGAGAGATAGAGCACAGAGATACTTTTCCATTTCTGTCGATTTTCATTATATGTTTCTTCATTTTATAATACATATTTTAAATTTTTACTTCATTTTCCATTTTTATATATAAATTATTTTATGGATACCAAAGGTTTAAAAGAGGGTTGGAGAGTGCATTATTTGATTAAGGGGTAAATTTCATAGACTCAGTAAAAAAATATACCCCAACTTGCTTTAACATATTCTGTAGCCGTAAGTCCCCTGGGGACAGTAATAGCTAATGAATATGAAATTGTATGTCTAAGAAAAATCTCCATAATGTTATTGATATTAGCATTTATCCCTTAACTTTAGCATTATATTTACAAATGTATGAATGCTTGCAGAATTATGATGAATTATTTTATTTATTATATTCTTCCTACAGACAGCCTCTGAGCTAAATGCACACATTTCTGACACTTAATCTTTACAGCAGCTCTTTTAGGCTGATGAAGCTGAGGCTCATATAGGTTAATGGTAAAACATTGGAAGACCTTCAAAGCAAAACAGAAATACACTATTATGCATTTTATGACCTTTTATACTGTGCTGAATCTGTTAAAGAGCTTATTATATGTATGAGGAAACTCAGAACTGTGTCATAATAAGCTACATTAAATACTGCTTCACTGTGTTTGCTATCTGCATTATAGAAGTTATTTCAAAGGTGGCTTATAAAATGTAGAAAGCAAATTTTGAATTAAATTTTGCACATATGTTAATTTTTTAGATAAAATGTTCTATAATTAAAATTAAACTATTTTTAACAGAAGTGGAAATTTTCACAGTATTTTAGAAGCTATGTCTTCATTTCTTTATTTCAACTAGATTTATGCCATTCCTCCATTAACCTAGAGAAGGTAAAATAAATGTATTATGATCAATTAAATTGTTCAGCTAACCTACTCCAAACTATGCAACTTTCATTTTCCTTCACAATTTTAACCATGGTGTTTACCAAAGGAGGGTTGCAGATACTTTTTTACACCTATTACATGATTCAGTTTGAAATACCACAGATGTAGGACAATCATGTACCACAAAGCAATGAAAAATTTCAAAAAGACTCCTTAAATTTTAAAAATCCATGATAATTCACAGTATGATGGAATGCCAAATTCTCCTTCTTCCTTCTAACTTAGAAAACCCACCAAATAAACAAGCTCCAACAGAAGGTTATCCTTACAATTTTGAGATATTTAGTAAATATCTTTGAGACAATTAACTTTATCTCATAAACAAAAGAAGGAGTCATCTTGCATCTTGGGAAATAACAAAGTACTAGCCTGCTTTTGACCGAAGCATGGTAAAAAAATGTTCTAATAAATTCTGCCAAGCTTATAATAACATCCCTTGGCATTAAAAAGTAAACCCCTAAAAAACAAAGAATGAAGGTAAATTTTGACAACAGTTTCAATAAATATCTGTAGGTATTAAGATGGTATTCTGTACAATTTTTTTCTAGAAAAAAATCCCCAAAGAATCCATGTTCAAATCTCAAAACTGCCAAGCGTGTCTATAGGAAAAATGGTTCTAGTTTTAATAGATATATATTGAAAAAACATCAACCAAAGTATTCAAGCAAACTCCAAATATCTGAAATTTAGTAACATAAATCCCAATTCATTGGAAGGTAATTCTAGGCAAATAGTATGCTTGAAAAATTCATGTATTTTTAATTCACCTCTGAAAAGTTGTGAAGTTTCAATTGCTTTCATAAGCTTTATTGTTTCCTATTCTTGAGCAAAGCTACTATATTTTTACTTTTTAAAATTTTTACTTTTGAGAATAAGTATTCTTTAATTTCATCTCTCATATAAGAAGATCTTCTGAATTATCTACGGACAGGAGAATATGGTTTGGGAAAATCAAGTAATAGTTACAATGGTAATAATTCCATTATTTTCACTCATTTAGCAACTTAAAAAAAATCCCCACCCATTCTGTAGATTTTTTTTGAAGAATGAAATTACTATGCTCAGTAATGACACTCATCTCACTGGAAATAGTAGAATATAGTCAATAAGTCCTATAAACATTATAAAATAAACTTGTTAAATTGCTCTGTCTTACTATTTTTACTTGACATTTTAAAAGAAATATTTACAAATTTTTTTGTATTAAAAAGAAATTTTTATGAACTCTGTTTTATTAAAAAATTTAACATATTAATGCATTTAAAAGAATACAGTAGAGAAAATATATGTAGATAATTTTATTTATTTATAGCAGAATTAAATCCATAATATAATTTCTTTATATTTTATACAATTATAATAATGAAACTAAAATTAAAATATGCATTCTAGCCAATAAGAAAGTTCATTTACATGGATGTACAGGGTCCAGCACAAATAACTCCCTATTTTTATTGCAAAAATTTTTATTAAAAAATTATAAGCATGTAATTCTGTAAAATAACAGCATCACACTCAAGCACACCATATGACATTTTAGGTGAAATATTCAAATTAAAACTATAAATTATTTTACCCATACTATTACCCTACCAACCACATTCAAGCAGGCATTACTTCTGCTGGACCCTGTATATAAGCAAATATTTCATTACTTTCCTAAGGCTGCCTTAACAAAGTTCCACAGATTGGGTGGTTTAAACAACAGAATTTATTATCTCCGGTGGAGTCTAGAAGTCCAAATGTAAGGTTTTGGTGTGGTTGGTTGCTGTGAGGACAATGAGAGAATGTGTTCTACGCTTCTCTCCTTGGTTAGAGGTGTCCGTCTTCTCCCTATGTCTTCATATCGTCTTCCTTCTATGTGTATGTCTCTGCATCCAAACATTCTCGTTTTATGAGGCAAATAATTTTGTGCTCCAAACCTTAACATCATCACCACATGCAAAAGCAGTAGTCTTCCATAAATTGTTTAACTGGGTCCCACAACTGTAGAAAGTCAAATCACTGTAATAAATCCCTTATTCCTTTTCATTCACAATGGTTTCATTTCTCTGAACTAACAGTAACTGACATGCTCTCTGTTATGAGTTGTATTTTGTCCTTCAAAAAGACTTGTGGAAGTCCCAACCCCTGTGAATGTGATTTCATTTGGAAATAGGGTCTTTGCAGTTGTAATCAAGGAATGACAAAGTCATTAGAGTGGGCTCTAATCCATCATGGCTGCTATCCATAGAAGAAGCAGCAGAAGAGACACAGTGATAGAAACACACAGTGGAAGACAGCATATCAAAACAAAGCAGAGATGGAAACTATGTTGACACAAGCCAAGGAACTTCTGTGACCACCAGAAGATGGAAGAGTCAAAAAAGGATTCTCACCTACAGGACTAGAGGAAGCATGCCCCTACAAACACCTTAAATTTGCACATAGAACCTCCAAACTGTGAGCTTGGCTAAGATATGAAGAAGCAAAGTACTGTGCAGTTTGGGTGGTAGGAGAAAACAGAACCAGGTAGAGAGATTTTAGTTAGTGCAAGAAACATGAGGATATTTACATGACATACTTAAATTCATATTTATAAAATAGAACATCTAGCATTATTTGAACACAAGAAGAAATGTTCATAGACAACACTGAAGGTTCCAAAATAAGTATACATGTATGCTTTGTTACTTTTCTATGACAGTGTCCTTAGAGTTCACATGTAAAACATCTTCATAAATTAAATCATTTCTTAGCAAGGGAATTCAGTAAACTAACGGGCAATGGATGTGTCCTTGGATGGAACCCCATTCATCTTTTGCTGAAATCAGTTTTATCAAGGGTTCTATATCACAGACTTGTAGCAAATAAATTATCTTGCTTGTTTCTAAATATGATTAGCAAACATTTCTTATTGGTATCTTATTTCTTGAACAGAAGTTATAGGACTCAGATCCTTGAGGAGCCCCATTACAAGTTTACCTTTATAAAGCAAAGAATCATAGTTACAGTTGAAGTTGGTATCTGTTTAATTTTAACAATGACTTGCTATACTTAGCCTTTGCTCAATGTTGGAAAAAATAATTGTTACTTTTCTGAGCTTTTATTTTTCTTCTTTGAATGAATATTAAAATAATATCTACCTCATAAGTCTATGGCAGAGATAAGAACACAAATAAAAATGCCATTAAAATTACTATAATTGCAATTTTCTTACCAACACATATTTATGTCATTTAAGTGTATATATAAGTTGTATGGATTATACTTGGAGGCAAAATTCAGGCCAGAAGTGATTTATGCAATTATTACTGATAAATGTCTTTAATAACTTATCAATTTTGGATATAGGAATCCATTATTTTCTTTAACTTTACTAACATTTATTGGTACATAAGATCCATAATAAAACTTTGTGTCTGAATTCAATAGAAAAAATTAAGTTGGAAACTAATCAAGGAGAAGTAAAATTATTTCTATAGTAAATAAAGATAATTAAAGACAAATATTCTTCAGTTTGCTATAGTTTTCAATTATATGTACACATGCATATGTTTATATGTGCAAACATGCATTATATATTACATATATGTATGTATATATAGAGAGAAGGAGAAGAAACAGTTCAAAAGTAAAGCCATTATGTACACCTGG